TGTTGGGTCCGTGTTCGCCTTGGCGCACATAGAATGAGCTGATGCGGGTCGCGATGGGGCTGCTTGAAAACAAAATATCATGGTCATTTGATACTTTCTTTTATAGGATTACACTGTATACATTTTATCTTCGCAGGCCCTGCCAACAAAAACGAATGAACTTCCTATAAGACCAAAATTTTTTGCTCCGCCCTTTCTCGGCTTTGCGCCCCGCCCTGGTGCTAATAGAGGGGGCAAGGAAAACTAAATAAGGATGACGGATGCTGTTTCCGATATGCATAAATTCTATCTAAAACTTTGCCTAGAGCGGTTATTTGACACGCTCTAACAGCAAATGTTGGTTCTGCGCTATTTGTGCGGTTATGGTGGGTACGATAGATGACACAAATTCCTAAACTTGCTTACCGTTTCATCCGCGTAATCACCACCACTATTTTCAACAATGGAACGATTAGCGTAAACTAAAACATACATACTAACATTCTCTATTCTGTGTTGCATGGACAAGTCTCTGAAACTCACTTCATCATTGGTGGAATTGTGCACGACCACAGTGCAGCCATCTCGAATAACAAAATGTAAACCGCATGTGGTTTGCGTTCTTGTCTTGCACAGAAGAGTGGATGATATGGTTCTGCACCCATCAAGGTTCATACTTTTCGAGCGCATTCACGTTGCTCACCAGCATCGATGACGGTACGATGTAATAAGCGCAAGAGCATGGCTTGAGTACGTCTTCATATTTCATTAAATCCGCCGAGTGCTACAATTCCTGTAAGGTACCCTACATGTTTTCCAAATTGATATATAGCAAACTTTAACTACTCTATTTATTTAAGGTATAACACGTGCAAGACCGCTCACTTTCACTTTCATGACACGTCTGTTCATTCAATAGTACCGCTCGCAATGTATTACCAGCGACATCAAATCTACTGTTGAGAGCGGAAGCATTAAATCTTTACGAACCCATCAGATTTGCAATGGAGAGAAGATTGCTCTCACCAAGATGGTTGATCATACGATGTGTTACGCGACCGTGATTGAACAGCCCGGTGAGAGCGGTTTCTACTTCCATCAGCAACTGCGATCTGACTTGAGAACAATTCAAAAAGAATCCCAAAGTTTTGCATGGATATTTTCTTACCCAAACAGTGTTGAAATAACAGCAAGCACGATTTAGCACTCACATGCAAGTTTTCATTTCCAAAATTTCCGCCAAATGGTGCTTTGCGTTTTGGTCTCAAGAATATGCTTCATTAGCCGCTGTAATCATATAGCATCTATCAACAAAAAGCTAAAACTATGCGATAACACCACTTTTTGCTTTGCTCCTCCTCCAAATATTTATGAATCAAGCTTCTGATTTCATGGCACGTAATCTCTCCAAGAAAGACCCCTATCCCAAAACGACAATTCCCGTTCCAGGAAAAGACTGCGCCTGTTCCGTACTAAAACACGCGTGCAATTTTTTTTACATAGTTTATTCATACTTGTAATGAGGTGTTAATCTATGTGTTTGTTGAATGTTGCTTCCATTTCTTGACGATGCGGTTTTACTGCATCCTCTTTCATTCTTCTATATATCTACCTGAATATATTTAAAAGTTTGTATTCAACTGCCACTTTGATAGTAAATCAAAATTCTCGAGTATCTGTCAAACATTCTTCCGTCAGTGTTCGAGTAGTTTGTGAAAGTAGATCGCTAAGACGTGCATATGACGTATCTTATGTCTCATCCAAAATTAGCTCTAGTTGAACGGTTGAGATTTCGCTCGGCCGTTCGCTTGGGCCCTGCACTGCGTTCGCGAACGCATCGTCTAATCATTTTTCCAAGCATAAAAACCGGAGCCGCTCGAGTCGGGCTCAATCTAAATGACGCCGAGGATATGTTTGTAATAGCGCCTCAGAGCTGATTTATACAAGCCAATACAAGATAATTTAGCTCCTTTGAACTCTGGCAAGGTTGGTCAGCTTTGAAAATGCAGAATTTTAGATACCTGCTAGACTCCATAGTAGCAAGTATGCATTGTAATTGCCCAAGGCTACTATCTACCTTTCAGTCCACTAGATTTGATTAAAATGCATACTAGCAGGACGTGCCACATTCACGTTCATCTTTTGCAGCGAATCCAACCACCTCACCATGTACTCCGTTCAGGGCTCGGCACGAGCTGGCACCAGGGAAATTTCAAAACAAAGTCCCGTTTGATCTTGAAAATTTCGTACGAAGTCCTTTTTGACCTAATTTTAAAAGACCCCTTATTATTTTGAGATTATGTGAAGGTAAGTAGTAGGGTTTTCATGCATGCTGATTTCACGGAACAACTTTTTACAGCTTTCTGAGCTAGCAGAAAAAGTCGATTTTTTGACTGCGGAGCAGGCCGTAGTTTGCGGATATAAAACGCTGAAAAGAAAACATTGTAAAATTCTTTCTTCTCTGTATGTAAATTTTTACAGCTAGATACATTTTATGTAAAAAAAAATATGAAAACATATGTGGCACCCAGGTGGCACAGTGCCAGCTAATTCAGAAAAAGTTCAGCACAGCTTTCATTCACATAAATTTTCATAAATTTTTGGGCCATAATTTGGGTCCCCCAACGCGCATGAACACACCAAATCTGGTGTCATACTATTGCGTTTTGGCTGAAAACAAAGCCTTTATTTGTTTGATGGACAGCATGTCGGTGGCATGCCGACGGCATTCTTGCGGCTATTCTACGCCCCGGTCTCCGGAAAAACGATATTCCCATTGCTTTCCACCCTAAAAACGATATCCAGTTTGACCCGATGCCAGCTGTGCCGAGCCCTGACTCCGTGTTTATAAAAAGCCTTCAGAGTAACTCCATCTAACACTAGGGATCCTGTGGTTGAGGCGCTGTCAATTTTAGAGGCTAAGAAGACTCCTTGATCTCAGTTCGAAAAACCTGCAGCAAAGATTTGAAGAATGTGTTAGATGGAAACGCCATTTGATATCTGAAACTATTGATGTAATGAAGAAACACGCAAAACGATCTAAGCAATATGACCTTTGAAAACTTGGAAACTGATGAATTCCATGGCGAATCGATAAGCATGAAGAGCATATCATAATCGTTAGAAGCAGAAAGTTTGCGAGAAATTGATATAGCACCGATTTAGCTTCTCTCTTCTCTCAGCAATCTCAGCATCTTATGTCGTATTGATATAGTAGATGTTTGGCCAAACCCAGATTAGTACGTTGAACCTTTATTGACCTAACGTTTCGACAAGGTCGTCTTCTTCGGAAGTCTAAAAGATGATTGCAGTCTTGATCTATGAAATTACGCTGCCAAACGCATCTCCGTACTTATCGAGTCTAGACCTCGTCTTATGCACAACCTATACAACATAGAAACGTAGAAAGTCATGCTGGCAGAAGAAAGACCAATTTAAAAATGTTACACTTTGAACACTCCTTGATGAGGGTCAGGCTCGCTTTGCGAGGCGCTGACGTAAGAACGACTTGCATTTACCACATTGGCTACAACAATTGCGCGCAACAACGGTTACACAGATCCGAATAACGATAGAAGTACACGATCTGGTTTATGTAGTCGAACTGCACGTACCGACCAGAGAAGCACTTCGCACGCCTTTCATCTCCGATGAAATGAGTGCAGCTCTGAAACAATGCCTCATCGAGCACAACTGCAAAATGAGGCTGCATTGGTAAACATCCCAAACGTTAACGTCAGAAAGCAGTTGGTGCGAAACAGGTTATACGAAAAAAATGCTTATCAGAGCAATGCATTGATTGTCTATACGGAAACTAGGAGCTGCGCGAAGTCATATGTCAACTAGAATGTTTGAGTTGCAAGGCTTTCTATATAGGTGAGAGGCAGAGCATTGAACATCAGGGTCAAAGAGCACTAAGCAAGCAAAAGACGAGGGAATTCAGTATCGCCTTTGGGAAAACACAGAGTTGAAGCAGATGGCAAAACTGATTTTGGGGTCAAATGTTTTATCTTGGCGTACGAGAAAGAAATCTCTGCACGATAGATAGTAGAAGCTTTGTGGATCTTGTTGGATCCATAACGACGGTGATGAAGACGATAAGTATAGTCGTTTATTCGGAATAGCAGATTGAGAGAAAAGAATGTTACTAAATGAAAACTGAATCATTTATACCCAAAAAAGAGATATGAAAATTATCATCATGAAGTTCGTATCTTCTTCATTCTCTTCAACACTTTCTTTGTGCGGTGCACAACACCTCCCCTTTTGAGTATAAGGTAATGGTAAGTAGCGGCACGTGGGTTCACTATGAGACGACTTGGTGGACGTCGGGTTCGAGTGGGGCGAGATATAGTTGAAGGTGTCGCGGTGGTTTCTCCCTGATCCAGTTGTGCCCGCGCTGATGTTGCTGGTTTTGAGGGAATCGTGTCAGAACTATCATTTGTGGCTTCAGCTGTTGAGTCCATAGATGCACGTGGTTTGATCTGGTCAGCGTGCCGGATCCAGATTCCAGGATCAACTTTTACTTCGTATGTGACATCGCCAATTTGCTTGCAAATTACTCCAGGAATCCAGGCAGTTTTATCAACTGTTCGGTAGTCCTTCACATAGACGAGTTGACCTGGAGTAAAGACTCTAGCAGTGATTCCATGGTGACGATTATACTGTTCCTCCATTTTTTTATCTCGTGCACCACGTTCCTCGTTAGCCGGGTGTAGTAATTCCAGAGTTGTGCGAATTCCACGTCCGATGAACATTTCGGCCGGAGAATGGCCATCCAGGTTCGGACTTGGCGAGCTGCGATAGTGCATTAGGAAGGTTTGTAGCGCATCGGCTGGCGTCTCCTCCCTCTGTAGTTTGGTAAGCGCGCGCTTGAAGGTGTCAACGAATCTTTCGGCTTGTCCATTTGATTGCGGATGAAAAGGTGGTGTTCGAACGTGTTTGATTCCTCGGGAGTCACAGAATGCATAATAATCTAATGATGTAAATTGAGAACCGTTGTCGAACACAAGTACTTCTGGATTTCCATAACGACTGAACAGTGTCTTAAGTTGGTGGATCGTTCCACCAGTCGTAATGTTGGGCATCTCGATGATTTTTGGCCATTTTGAGAAAGTGTCCACGACAACGATGTAAGTGTGTCCATTCACTGGTCCAGCGAATCGACGTGAATGCGACTCCACGGTTTAGTTACAGCTTCCCAGGGATGTAAGTCCGTCTTGATTGGGTCTTTTGAAGCAGCAGCACAACTATCGCAGGAGCGGACGAGGAGTTCGATATCTCGATCGATATTTGGCCAATAGACGTGACTGCGGGCAAGCATTTTCATACGAACAACTCCAGGATGTGCAGTGTGCAAGCTGTCCAGTACTCTCCGTTGGAGCTTGTTCGGAATGATTAGGCGGTTTCCCATAAGTAGACAGTCATCTGCGATTGATAGTAGGTCTCTTCGGTTGTAGTGGCCATTCCTGAGCGTCGCGGGAAATTTTCGGCCAGTGTGTTAATACAAATGACTTAATTTTCTGAAGTAACGGATCTTCTTTTGTTTTGGCAGCTACTTCGTGAATAGAAGAGGTAACTGACGGCTGTGATCCAGCAAGTCAATTCGCATTTCGGCGTCCAGTCCTGCAATGACAACGTCTTCGTGTTCTTTTGAATGGGCTGCAATCAGTCGGGAGAAAGCATCCGCTTGTCCAAAATCCGCAGTATTGCGGTACTGGATATCAAAGTCGTATCCCAAAAGGAGAGTGGCCCATCTTTGTAGTCGATTTGCAGTGTACACCGGTACTCCGTTCTTGTTTCTAAAGATGGCTAGAAGAGATTTGTGGTCAGTCAAAAGTATGAAATGACGGCCATGTATGTAGCGGTGAAATTTTGTGACAGCAAAGATTAGTCCAAGAGCCTCTTTTTCAATTTGATTATAGTTCTTCTGTGATGTGTTGGGAGTACGACTGGCGTGACAGATGGCCTTTTCGGAACCGTCTGGAAAACGATGCAAGATGACTGCTCCAATGCCGTAATTGGACGCATCGGCGGCTACTATGATCGGTAAGGATGGATTGTAGTGCGTTAGCAATAAATCGGATGCAAGAATAGCTTTTGCTCGTTCAAATGACTTTTGACACTCTTCAGTCCACTTAAATTCGGTATTCTTTTAAAGTAAATTATCGAGAGGAGCCCGAATAGTTCTCATCTCCGAGACAAATGCTCCGTAATAGTTAACCATGCCGAGAAATGAACAGCATGGTTAACTATTACGCACCTGCGATAAGTCTTGGGGGACAGGCATCGATTCAATCTCACGAATTTTCTCTTTATTCGGTCGGCGTCCGTTTTCATCAACGACCATTCCAAAATATTTTATTTTTCGTTGTAGAAAGGCGCATTTTTCGATTCTGAGTCGAAATCCATAGTCTTTGACGCAATGCAGAGCAGCAGTGAGGTGTTTAGTGTGTTCATGAATTGACGATCCCGTAATAACTATGTCATCCATGTATGCAGCAACTCCTGCTATATCTGCGATCATAGTGTCCATCAGCTGTTGGTGCCGGGAGCTGTCTTGACTCCAAAGGGTAATCGGTTGTAATGGAAGAGTCCCTTATGAGTGTTAATGACAAGCAGTCGCTTGGCATCGTCGTCAATTTCCACTTGTAAGTACGCTTCGCTCAAGTCGAGTGTAGTAAAGAAACGTCCACCATTCAGTTTAGTAAAGACATCTTCGGGGGTAGGAAGCGGATACTTGTGTGGTTCTAACGCGTCGTTCAGCCCAGTTGAAAAGTCGGCGCAAATACGAAGTTTTCCATTAGATTTCTTAACGAGACGATAGGTGCAGCCTATTCGGAATGAGTAATTGGAGAAAGAACTCCAATGTTTACTTGTCGTTCCAGTTCGGTGGTGACAGGAGGAAGTGCTGCAGACGGTACTGGTCGGGCTTTGCGAAATGTCTTATTTGTATCTTCTTTGAGTGCGAGGGACGCCTTCATTTTCGTGCAATGTCCTAAGCCGGGTTGAAACACTTCCGCGAACTTTTCCTGCAGCATCGTTGTCAGTTGAGGTCTCTCCTTGTCAAGTGTATCTTCCGTGGATGCCACCGTATTGGCATCGTAACAGCCGATGATCATATTGTAGAGAGCACGGTCGCTTCGGATCCAGTCCATCCCGAGTAGAGGTGGTCCATCAACGACATATGCTGTGCCTTTTACAGTGATGCCATTTAGCACGTATTCACATGTGCATTGTCCATGGCATTTGATGCTGGTCCCATTGGCAGCAGTCAGATTATGTTTCAGTTCTTCTAGTTTCGGCCGGCCAATCTTGATCCATGTGTCGCGATCGATAAGAGTGACTTCGGCTCCACGATCTAGTCGCATATTGATATTCATACTGTTGATTTTCACGTTGCGGTAGGCCTTGGTCTCCTTAGGTGGTGAGGTGGCGACGTGACGGACGTCCTTGGCGTCATCGATGAACAGTTCACGCAGTTCAATATTTTTCTAGATGTCCGCGTTTCTTGCAATAGTTGCATTCATGTATCAGCTTCTCGCATCTTCTGGTCCTGTGGGTCCTTGCTCCGCAGTTCCTACAAAGTAAATCTGTTTTGGGCTTCTGATCAGTGGACGATTTCCGCATCTCCCCTCGCTGCATCGCGTTGACTTGCGGGTTCTCATCCCTCTGAATCGCATGGACCTGTGGTACCTTGGCTTTGCCGATCATTTCAATGTGAGACTGCAATTCCGAGTAGTCGCACTCTTCCAGTAGATCCATCAGAGTTGTGTCCGGTTCGGCTTTCATTTTCTTCAGTACATGGGTTCGTAGTGCAACACAATCGTCATCTTCTAGAGCGCTTACGAAAATCAAGCGCTTGAATTGTTCACCAGTCATAGCAGCAAATTCCGCGTTTTCCACGTTCCGGTTGACTTCTGCGACGAAGTCCGATAATGGTATCGATGAATGGTATTTCATCCTCATACACTCGTATCGACGTGTGAAAACTGACTTACGGCATCCAAATAGCTTCAACAAAGTCGCTTTTGCCGTTTGCAAGTCCGTGTCTTCGACCTTCTTAGGAGCGATTGTGTTTGCGAGACGGGCATGTGTCTTCTGGTCGAGCCGGGATACTATCAGCCTGCTTTTGCGTTGTCATCCAGTGCGGCTCCGCCGTTCTTGATTATATTCTCATAGCGTTGCAACCATACGTCAAACGTGCATCCATTCTCAGGGTCATGGTTGAATTCTGGTAGACGAGTAGCAAGTGCGTTCATCACGTAATCCTCGCTTGATCCTTGTTTCTTCTTCACTTCTTTCCAGAGCTCCATGATTTGCAGCATCAGGAACTGGGTGGGGTCCATGTTGGGGTTCGGTTTTGGGCTCGGGTTCGGGGTTTGATCGCCACTTGTTGGATCCATAACGACGGTGATGAAGAGTATAGTCGTTTATTCGGAATAGCAGATTGAGAGAAAAGAATGTCACTAAATGAAAACTGAATCATTTATACCCAAAAAGGAGATATCAAAATTATCATTATGAAGGTCGTATCTTCTTCATTCTCTTCAACACTTTCTTTGTGCGGTGCACAACAGATCTCTATGAAGAGCCCAAGCATGAACAACAAGAATGCAACAACAATGCCTATCGATGAGAAGTGATCTTCTGCCCTTTCTATCACCATGTGAACAGTAGCCTGCCAATATATAGACGTGTCTCACCGAGTAACACTGAGTGTCGGCCATCCTCAACATCTTTGCGGCTTTCGTCCGCTACTTCCTGCGGACTACTAACATCCTCATTACGGTGGGTCAACGGTTGGTTTCTTCTGCCGCATGACTCTTGTACGTTGTGCATAAGACGGTCTAGACTCGATAAGTACGGAGTAGTTTCATAGGGTAAGACTTTTTTCAAATTTCCGAAGAAGTCGATCCTGTCGAAACATTAGGTCAATAAAGATTCACCATACTAATCTGGGTTTGGCAAAACATCTACCACAAATAACACCGAATATTTTCAAAGATAAAAACTGATGTTGCAACCAAGGCTCACTCCTACCCTTTTGCATCAACCACCTCTCAGCTCCTTAATTTGAAGGTCCCAAAATCGATAAAATCGTTAGGATAATTTTTTGATGGTATCAACAAAATCCCATAACGTAAATTGCACAAAATCGATAAAATCAACAAGTTAATGAAGAAACTCATAAATGAATATCATTGTTGCAATCAGGATTCGGTCTCACCCCTCTGAACTCTCAGCCTCTGACTAAAATTGTTCAAAAAATCGATAAAATCGATAGAGAAAATTTTCCTTGTAATCGGCAAGCTTCTTTATTCCAGTACACCAAGTCACAGCGCTAGAGGAGTAAATCGCAAAAAGTCGATTTAATCTGAATGAGTGAAGAATCTCTTAAATGAATATTATTACTGCAATCACTTACTCAGTCTCATCCCTCTTTATCAACTCCCAGCTCACTAGCTAAGAATGCTCAAAAATTCGATAAGAATCGATAAAGAAATTTTTCCTTCTAATCGGCAAGCTCCTATATCCCAGTACACCAAATCACAGAGCTAGAGGACGTAAATTGCAAAAAGTCTATAAAATGGAAAAAAAATTGGATAAAGTCTATAGAATTTTTTCCTTTCTAGACAGCAACTTTCGATATCCCCGTGCACCAATCTGCAGCGTCTCGACGTGAATTGCAAAAATTCCATAAAATCGATAAAATCGATTACAATACTGAAAACTGTGTTATACTTGTATTTCTGCTTAACTACCCCACCTGCGTTAATCCAGCCCCTGCTCGAGTGCTGCGAAAAAATGATGTTATCGATTATATGAATTAGATTCTAAAGTCTCGATATTTTGATCAGCACATTCACTTGAGTTACCAAGTTTTAACTCGCCAAAAATCAAAAAATGTATGAGAACAGCTTGGCATTGTGGAGATCATCGGCGGCGACCTACGAAAGGGCCGCCAAGCGACCGTTTGGGCGCGCATTTTAAGGATATAAATCGCGAGGCGCTCAGGGATCCGACGACTCCTCCGTTTCTGATAGTTTTGTTTTTTCTGATTATCTCATTGTGTTCCTCTTTAATTTGATGTCTTTCTGTCAATATTTTATGTATTATTTTGTTCATCAAAAAAATAAATCATTTCGTAACCGGTGTATTTGGTTTGTGCAAGAATCTATCTATCGGCGAGCCCGTAGGGGTTACAGCATACTGAACATACTTTAGATCTAGTTTCAAAAAGATGTCGGCTGTTGCTATCAACGAAATAGTGGTCTTCTTTTCAAAGGCGCTTCAATGTTGCTCTTTATGGAAATAGTGATTTTATATTAGCATTTATTAGATTACACGAAAAGCACACGAAAATTCAGCTCCCGACGCATGTATACGGTTTCAGCGTAAGAGTTCGTTTTGGCGTAAAAGCAAAGGTCGGTCTAACAAATTTTTTGAGAAACAGATTCAAATCATAAGTTCACTCTGTTTTAAATATATTCGAGCTTTACTCTGGAGTGTTGTCAAATTCGCTGATTCGCAAAAAATCTGTTACGAAAATCGTTCTACTGGGATTTTAGAGGATTCGTGCAATCTAGATTTATTATTTTTCTTTTATTCATAAGAGGACTTTTGAATGACTAATAATTATATTCTTCTTTGCTACTCATTGGTTGAAAGATGTTTATGTTTAACATTGGACTACAAATGGAGCTGAGGTGGTATATCACATAGTATAATACAGTTGCAGCAATTCTCTTAGCTGAATGAGAGAGAATTGTGGAAGTTGCACTTTGGGAAATAGTTTTAGGTACAAAATAATAGAGGCAATTCAAACAAGAGTGAGTGAAAAGCAACTTCTCACACGATGAAGTTGTGCTGCATAATATCTATCTATACCTTCCTGTATACTCTGATATGCTATCAGAATACTTCTTCTTCTTTATTTTATGATATGTTATCGTACATAGCTTATCATAGACATTCTATCAGAATCTGGTATCTTCCTGTATATCCGCGATACGCTATCATAGACAGCCTTCAAAGAAACCGCCGCACGGTAATAATTGGCTCAATAATGAGTGTGAAATAATCTAGTGAACATTAATTTTTCCAGTACCAGTGTTTAGTATAAATTTATCAAACTTTGCCCTCAATGCAATTGTGAATTATGTAAAAACCCTGATTATATGTCATGTTGTATCTAGTTTTACCTGTCAAGTTTGCGCACACAAAACAGCAACATGCTAAATACGCACCATGATCCAAGGTGTATACCACAAAGAGATTTCAGTAGCTTTCAGATCATGGATGTTGAGTGACGCGCATGGCGCAGAAGCAGGAGTCGCGACTGGTGAGATAATAAACTTACGGGTTCGAGTCCTTATGCTTTTGTCAATTTTGCATTACAAAAATGAATATAAACCTATTGCAAAAGCTCTGCTAATTGAATTGAAGAAGCTTTCAAGTTATGCGAACGCAAACTAACACTTTTTTCTTTTGAAAAGCAAAAATGCCCTTATGTAGCAGGGCTCTAATGCGAACGCATTCACAGTACCGATACCTCATCCACTAAACCATCATTGCACTGTCGTTGTGCGTCACGCGGCATGAGATGTTGAGATCCGAAACTCCTAGATATGTACATTTTTGATTTCTGCTGAATTTCATCAAATTGGCAGGTGGCACTTTGGGCACATGGATAAGAATTCGCTGGCAATTAGATAGACCCTCCCTGTGCTTATCAAATGACATACACTGCGAGCGGCTACATATCTTACATTTGAAAAGGACGAGTAAAAAAACATGCACAGCATTTTTGGTGTCTATGATCTTTTTCACCAAATCCGTCTGAAGAATTTGGGTTTGATACATTTTTGTGATGGCAGATACAACTACTACAGCCGATCTAAAAGGAGTAGCATTGAAACATCATCAGTTTAATGCCAAGGTGAAGTACTCCAGTATGGGTTGTTTCATGCTGCAGTCGCTGCAGCCACTGCAGTCATATGGGAGCGGGCAAAAGATATCGATCGATTGACCTGTCGTTGCTGCAGCGACTGCAGTATGAAACAACCCTATATATAAAATTAGAATTTCAGCCTTTTTGCTCTGCCAGCCTGCTTACAGTTTTTCAGTTGCTTTTGAAGAAATGCTAAAATTTAGAACGTTACGCGATTTTAACTGATTATAACGCCAGAATGCGTGGAGTTTTTCCCAATCTTTTCGATGGAGAGTTCGAGTTGGATTGAATGCTATTTCAACACACAAGCTTCACAGTTCAATCATATGTCACATCAAACACATATTATGATGAATTCGTAAGCATACCTCGCTAGTGACGCGCATAGCACAGTAGCAAGATTTCTGACCAATAAGAAAACGAAGTTTGAGTTCAAATCCTCATGTGTTCGCCGAATTTGCATTTCACCATTAAAAACTAATATACTGTGTATAAGCGTCGTTACTTTATTTGAAAATCTTTGTGGCTATGCAAATGACGCAGATTTTGACAAGATAAAATATGCTTCAAATATTAGGTTGGCACATAAGTTTTGCAACTTATTTCGTAACTTTTCTCTTTTTGGATGTGACGCATTCATTTTCAAGCATCATGTAGAATTGATGGTAGGCTACAAACCTGCGCAAACAGTTTGATTTTTGGTTTCGAGCTGGAGAAAATTTGCTCACTTTTCGGAAGCCGGTCAAAACCGAAATTTCGAGGGTCGGAAAACCAAAAATAAAGCCGTATTTAGTCTGACTCAAACATATCGAGCCGAAACTATGCCCAGACTATTGATAGAAAAAACTTTAATCATCTACACAGTTTCGGCTTGATTTGTTTGATACAGACTGAGAACGGCTTCATTTATGGTTTTCCGACCCATGAAATTTCGGATTGGACCAGTTTCCGAAAAATGAATAAATTTTCTCCATTTCGTTACCGAAAACCAAACTATTTGAGCAGGTTTGTAGCC